GCAACGGTTTTCTGTTGGACCACATGAAGGCCGACAATTTCTATGTTTTTCTAGACTACACCATTTTAGCAAGTAAAATAAAAGAAAAAAATTAGCAACGTGTCTTTTTGAAGGTTCATGCCTTTGTTTCTTTAGGGTTCTATATTATCACTGCAATTTAGCCATACCAATATGCCAAGGGGCTAAACTAGTATTAAACGAAAAAATATAACTCCAGAAAAAAATATACAAAAGAAATTGAGCCTGAAAAGAGAAAAAGAAGGAGAAGATGAAGCAACCTTTCAGAACACCAAGGATGAGAAGACCAATGAAGTAAGGTAAGAAACAAGTGAAGTTCCAGAGAGATGCGAAAAACCCCCTCGGGGGTTCCATAGTCTTTTTAACTGCCCAGGAATGGGATCTCCCCTTCCAAGTAACAGTGTTGAAGATCCAGACCCAACTCTCTCACGTCTCAGTTCAGAATCTTGAGCCTTTCTGCAACCCACCAACGAGCACTGGGATTTGCTTCTTCCCTTCACTAAGATTCCTAAAAGATGCTCTCAAAGATTGAGTCTTTGGGAATACAACTTGTACAGTAACTGTTTGTCAGTTTATACTTGATGCATGATGAAGATTACCCGAATTGAAGAGTAAAAGCCTCCATCGGGTCACGGGAAAAACTCTTTAACCAACTCAAATGACACATACAGATATTCATTCACAGAATCAAAGTGGAGTGATAATGACGTGTATATCACTCCGTACTATTATTATTGTTATTAATTATAATTATTTATTATTTATTTTATTTTTATTTTATTTTTATTATTACAATTAGGGTTGGACGTATTGGTTTTCGGTTTGCTTTGTTTGGAAGGGGTTGGGGGATTATACCAAACAAAAACCAAACCCTCGTCTCGAATTGTAAAATACTTTACGGTTTATGATGTTTGATCGACGATAAAACAAATTGGTCTCTGTCAACACTCAAATTAGTTTTGGAAAATAAAATTTACAAATTCAGAAACTACATTATAACAGCTACAAAGCCTGCAAAAAACAATTCAAGTTTCATAAAATCTTGATATATAATCTTAAGAGTGATTAAGAGTGATTTGTGTTGACCAAATGAATAGGAAAATAATCTTACAAAATGGGAGTATTATTTTTTGGTTCGGTTCCGTTTAGTTCAGTTTGGTTTGATTTGAATTTGTTATTTTTTAATAAAATAGATAGTATGAAGGACTTTTTGAATTTATTTAGTTCGGTTCGGTTTTGTTCTATTTTTATCAGTTTCAGCTCGGCTTAATACGGTTCGGAAGAAATACTACTAAACTCAAATCAAATTGCATATGATTCAGTTTTGGTTCGGTATAGTTTAGTTTGGTATGATTTGATTTGGTTAAACCAAACCGTTATGACCGCCCCTAATTACAATCAAACAAATACTCAGTATATTGTTACGAACAATTACTTTCTCCGTCTCTCAAAAGTTTTCATTTTTCTTATTTAAGTGTCTCATTTAAAGGTTTTCATTTTATTTTAGAAAATAATTTACTGTCTTTAATTAAACATTTTTTTCAAATTTCTCTTTCTACTTATTTCATGTCAAGTCTCACAATTTTTCATACCCAATTTGATTTTTCTTTAACTACTTTCACTTTATATGTTATTTTTTCTAAAATTTCTCATTCCTTTTTTTTTTACCCAATATGTAACCACTTACCTGAAAAAACCGTGTCATTTACCATTGGAACCTTCCATTAGGAAGTAGGGGTACTATACAGTATACATAAGAGCATCTACATTCATGCTACTTGAATAAACCGATTTTTAATAGGAAAAATTGATAATAATAATCCCAACTATTGGCGGTCCGCTCATAATAATCCCAACTATTGATTATTACAGAATAATCCCAACTTTAGGGACCTTCCGCCAATAATGGTCCCTATGAATAAATTCTTGTAGTTTCTAAAGTGGATGAGATGAGATATAACAAGTAATCCCTATAAATAATCTCAACTTTTAATTTTTACGGTTAATTTCTATTTAAAATTCACTCTTTATAGAGGTAATATATGGTCATGGACCATTATTGGCGGATAGTTTATATAGTTGGGATTATACAAAAATAATCAATAGTTAGGATTATTTTCAGCGGACCAGCAATAGTTGGGATTATTATTTTCAATTTTTCCTTTTTAATAACACGTAGGTTGACACGTAGATTTTTTCCAAATAATTTCATACTTTCTAGATTGCACTTAGTAATTAATACTAGTTTCATAATAATCTTGAGATAATTTGGATTCATATTTCAATCCCGAAATATTTTATCAAATAATCTCACAAGATAATCTTCATCACTCAATTATGATCCCAAAATAATCCGCCACATCACCAACTTATTAATCAAATAATCTTATGGATGGAATATGTCTAAGTATTTGGTTGCTGCTGTTTTCGTTTTCCGAATTCCAAACACAAGTCTATGCAATCCCTAAAATAGTATGCAATGTTTAACACACATACATTTGGATTGAGTTAAGAGTAACGTTATTTTGCTATTAGATCACTTAATATGGTGATTTAGGGGTGTTTGAATCTGATTCTTAAAAATGTTTCCACTCTTTCAGAGAGTAGAAACAGAAGTTGGAGTGTTTGAATGAAAGTGCAGAAGTGATTCTGATGCTCTAATTTACTCCTAGAATCAGTTTTGTTAAAAGCTGGGGGAGATCAGCTTCTGAGAACTGATTATTATTCTGCTTCTGCTTTTAAAAAAGAAGCAGAAGCAGAATCAGTTCCAAACCTCCCTTAGTCTAGATTATTCCAATTAAATCTGATATGATTAGTTTGAGTGAGTATTAGTTGTCTAATACATAGTACTCTATTTTTCGAGTTATAAAGCGTATGAAAGAATTTAATCTTTCAACACCCAAATTTTGATTATGAAGTATGAACAATAGCTGGGTATCAATTTAAATAATTATTAAGACTAAAGTTATCAAATTTGACGAAAAGAACTACTCGTATTTTTAAATGTTTCTATAAAATTTTTCCTATATTTTATTAATAAAATAAATTTTTAATTTGGTCATATTGACTTTCTATAGGTATAAGAAAATATAAATTATGTGGGACAATTATGACTAGATCAATGTGATCTAATCATATTGAAATACAGGGTATTGGATCTCCATGTATGCAACATCAATCAATATATCAATTTTAGTTACTCATGATGTTTTTACTTGGACTGTAATTTGCTGGTCTGGTCTAGTCTGGTCTGATCTGGTCTGGTCTGAACTGGTCTGGTCTGGTAAGGTCTGATTTCTTTGTATTTTTATAACTATCCAAGTCTGGTCTGGTCTGGTCTGGTCTGAACTGGTCTGGTCTGATCTGGTCTGGGACAAATTACAGTCCAAGTAAAAACATCCTTATACTCTTTTATTGTTTTTGAGAAATGTTGAATTGACTTTTGATTTTTTCGACTGCAAAAGCGACTAAACAGTCGTCCAATATGTTATGTGCTCATTGTTTAGGATGTTTAATTTTAATGTCTTCAATCTTATTTGAAATTGAAAACCTCCATTATACCATATTTCTTAAATTATGAGTTGCCGTGCTGTGAGGCTGTCAATTTCTCATTGATTATTATACAATTGGATGACATTTCAAAAGAAAAAGAGACGTACCAATATTGGCTTCTTCCCGACTATATATATTCGTTCATACCAACTTTTGGATATAAATATATACTACGACTTTGGATCCATTTCTTCTCATCCACCCTCCCATTTATCCCCTAGACAAGCAACTTATTCGAATTGTTAAAGTCAATTGTACATTAGCCGCTCACATGTTGCGATCGAAGGGTGTAGCTGTAAAGTTTCTATTTTTTTCATTTTTTAAACACTCATTTTTATGTATGTACTCCTATTATAAACACATTTGACAATTTTGTAATGTTCAATACTATATCAATACACGTTTCTTTTAAATATTACTCCATATAATCATAAAACGTAGTGCACAATTTTCTATTCTAAACATAAGAACTTTGTTGTGATCATTTTATATGGTTAGAATATTAACGTTTTCTTTTGAGTGTTATGCTCATAATGACGAGAGCGTATATCATACCACTGGGTGTACGTACACCCGACCCAACTAAGGGAGACAACCCAACAATCAATACATACCAAATTTTTTTTGGTGGCAATTTTGTAATTTAAGTGAAAAATCGCGGCATCCACTACATGAGCAATAATGTAATTTTAGTGAGCATCCAACCTATTTTATTGAGTATTAGGAGGCTAACAATGAGTTTCACGATCGCTTCGTATATTCTAATTCTCTTTCTATTTCTTATTTTTTCTTTAGTAAAAACTTATTAAATTATATATATAATTCACTCTCATTAATTTCAATATGCGATTCTAATATAATATGATACTTTTGAAATATGCATTGATATGACATTGTAAAAATGAGCATTACATCAGTACCAAATGAGCAAACATAACTACAAAGTGTACATTGATATGAAGATCGTAAGGTTTTGTTAGTTGAACATCACGAAATTTTAATTGAGCATCAAACATCCACTATTGAGATGAAAACCACAGTTTCTTGTGAATGAGCAGTAATGAACTTTTTATGAGCATTCATTCTATTACGTTGAGTATTAGAAGTCATGTACTGAGCATCGTGATTTCTGCTACATATCGTGTAATTCACTTTTTTTTTTTACTTTTTAAAATGTCTATAATGAACCCGTATGAATCCAATATGCAAATCTAGTGTCATATTATACTTTTTAAATATGCATGAATATGATATTTTAAAATGAGCAATACACCAACATCAAATTAGCATACATAACGCACTAAGCCACTAAATGAGCATCGAATAATACAAAAAGTGCATATAAAATCTCTAGTATGTTCAAATATTAAATGAGCACCCATAACTTACGAAATGAGCACCAGAAAATTTAAAATGAGATTACACCAACGTGCATGAACATGATATTTTAATATCAGTATTAAATCAATATCAAATGAGTATACATAATTTGCGAAATGAGTATCGAAAAAATAAAAAACCTTTAATATGCTTAAATGTTGATTTATAAATAAAGAAGCATCATCCGCAAATGAAATTGCACTAATCAGCAAAATAACATGGAATCCCAAAAGTACTTGCAAATAATCCAGCAAATCCGGCTTGTCTTGTACTCTTGTTACCCAACGATTCAGCCCCTCCTAGCGTAACCAAACCCTCTAATTTAGAAAGCACCAAAAAATCAAAAGCTATCCAGATGCTCGTAATAATGAAGGAGACGGAGTACAAAGCAGAAAATTCCCAAATACAGAGTACATCAATACACAATCGGTCTATGAGAGATGGCATCTCCTCAGTCTTCTTCTCCGACTCTCCATGTTCGCTGCAAGATGAAGATGACCGCAGCATGTCCGGCAAAACCTGACCCCAATCGTTGATCCAATATTGACGGAAGAACGACAACCCTACAAATCAGAAATATTACAAAAACACCCGGATGTATGGTGAGGAGTGAGGACCGTACACCCGGGTGTACGGTATAATTTGCCCATAATGACTGGAGATTCATTGAAATCTTTGTTAGGCTCATTTATAATATCCACATACATTTCATTTATAATTGAAATTTTTGTCGAACATAACTCATTTTGTTTACTTGATGATGAGTAACTTTAACAATGATAGTATAACAATCTTGTTAAGAAAGTAACTTATAGTTCCTCACTCTAGACATATATACCAATTACTCAGTTTATAATGTTACTCATTACTATGATGTATTCATTTGAATTTTTTAAACTCGATCATTTACATACGAAGTATATATGATGTAACACTGATGCACACTTTTTAAACGATATGTTCATTTAAATACGGAGTATAAGTGTATAACATAAAACCCATTTGCATCATTGATGCGTGTAATGTTTTCATTACAAAACAATTTATCATAACTAGCTTCATTTATTCACTTATCAACAACTCTAGGAATGAAGAATATAACAATCTTCTTAAGAGAGTTATTTATAATTACTTATTCTAGACTTATCGATTCATGGTACTTATTTCATAAAGTTACATATATATGCACATTCATTTCAAACAATATACGTAGACACGTAGTATATTAGTAATTCCATGTGATAAAGTCGTTACTATTAATTCAAAGTACTAAAATTAGCCATGTTTACTCATTTGTCGTAAAAGTCTTTGAACCCAACATTGGCAACAAACATAAATTACAAAGTCAAACTCTAATAGCTAATTCTTCAAACATAAATCTCAAGAAAAATATAGAATTTGGTAAAATGTAAAAGCCTAGAAGCTGGAAAAGGTTCACATTATGTTTTCTCTAACTTACAATTAGAGGACATTCAATGTTTAAGAGTATATTCCAAAGAAAAACGAGAGTATTATTTGCAATAGAGGGAAATGAGATGTCCTTGTCAAATTATTATTCCATTTGATTTTTCAGAATTGGAAGAGTTAAATTTGGATATAAATTAGAAATTGTTGATACAAACAATAAAAAGGAAACAAAGAAGGAAGCCAAAGGAGGTGCTTAAAGACTTAAAGTTCCATAATAACTACAAAGTTGCCCGATTACACCATGTTTATGGTACTACATGACTCGGATACAACCTTTATAATTTTTTCCTAATTGGAAAATGACAGCTGAGTAAATGCAAAATGCAAGTACCCGGCCTTTATAGCTTAGTACTTTAAGTTCTCATGTATACAAATGAAAAAATATATGGCAGAAATATTTCCTATAAAAATCACATTAGTGAAAGAAAACTTGTATTTTACACATAAAATGGATTACCGGCTAACAATACGAAGTGATAGTTCATCATCTATCATTGTCTAAACCTTAAAATAGACTTCAATTATTGTCTCCCACTCTCACGTCATTATAAGAATCACAAGATACCCGTATGAGTAATTCAGTTGCAGGGGCGGCCTTAGAATGATGGAGGCCCTAGGCGACAAAATTACTCTACCCGCCCATTAAATTTGATCAAATTTAACTTATATGTAAAACAATAAAATAAAAATGTGGATTGATATTTGTGAAAAAAAGAGAAATAACTTTAATTATATATTTATTACGAAATGAAAACGTTTTATGAGAATTCTAAATAAGGAAAATTAGCAAACTTTTGTAGGACGGGATGAGTATTAGAATTTCTTAATAAAAGTGTTATTGTTTTCTTCCAAAATTGGACACATGCACTCCTATTTAGAAAGATTTGTATTCTTTTAATATTTAAATAGGACTACATCCTATTTTAGGAAGAAAGTGCAATTAGTTCTATTTTAGAACTTTACCTTTGTTTTAATATGCTGTTTATAGGACTAATAAAGTCATACAAAAATTAATATAAAAAACTGAATAAAACACACAATTTAAAATTCAAAGCATGTACAAGTGAAATATAGCTTGTGAGCGTCAAAAGAAAAAATTCTTAAATATAAATTAAACATAAGCATCAAAGTTGTAATTTCTAATACAATATTGTGTCATCACAATAGGTATATATCACAAACTAACCAGTCAGTTAAAAAGTCAAAATTTTCAAACACAATTATTTGTGAATTAAAATATTAAACTAAAGAACTACTAAAATCAAATTAATAAATAATTACTCCAACTATTTATGGAGTATTAATTTTGTTGGTCACTGGCTAGCAATTCAATTAATTAAAGTTAATATTAATCTATGGACCGTCAATATATACCAATAAATTTAAGGAATAACCAATATTGTCTCAACCATAACTTTTAGTAGAACTTTTATACAATTCTAACTTAGTAACTTTGATTTGTTTATCTCAAAACTTAATATGCCAAACACACAGTGCCAGGGGAGGGGTGAGGTCATGAGGGGTTGAGGCGTGAGAGAATCCAATGGCCGTCTCATTGTTTGGGGAATTGCCCGTTGTATTTCAGTTTCAACTTCCAAACTATTAAAAACGAAATAATCTTTTTATATTACTAACTAGTTATGTAACGCGCGTTGCGCGTTCGTGATAATGCCCAAGGCCATTGTAAGGATGTTGATAAATAGGCAAACAAAAAAAGACTATTATTTTTAACTTTAAAATGACACACATTTTTCTCAGGACCGTTATACCCTAACAATATTCATATTTATACAATTGTAGAGAAATCTCTAATAATTATAAAATTTCTCACATGTAAGGAGAAAAAAATAAAAGCATATTTTAACAATTAAAAACTCACAAACCCACACAAAATAATATGCATAAAAAATTATCATTGCCAAGAGTAAGTGGATGTCTTATTGATGCATGTCATGTTTAAGGGAAATTACCTTAAATAGGACTAAAAACGTTTGTGTTGAGGTTAATTCCTTCAACCCTTGGACCCAACACGTAAGCCCAAGGATTTCGAGTGGAGTAAGTGTGTGGATATCTAGCCCAACAACTTTCGGATGGATCAGGAAACAAGGGAAATAGCAGGCAATGTAAATAGGTATTATTAACTTCGTAATAACTCCCCTAAGTACAACCTACTTGCTAAAAAAGGCACGTCGGCCGTTCGTCTTACAAGGCAGTAGAAATGCTGCGAGTAAGAATACAATAGCTAGAATGCTAAGAATAGAAAGTTGCCAAGTCCGGCTATGCGCTTGGCATATCCGAGTTCCTCGTCCGTCATGGGCGGTGGAATCGTCTTCACCGGGTAAGCATTCCACCGGTCAGAGAATGGCATCGGTGAGCCTACCCCGGCCAGGAAGAAGCGCTCTTCCCAACCGTCCGGATTCCCAGCATTATTCGAAAACAGGACCATGGACGGACGGGCGATCAGGGTCAGATACCCTGTGCGCCCGAAGAGGGACAGCCGAAAGAAATGGTGCAGCAGGTCCACGGTGGGGGTCACACCGACGCTGTGGCATCTAATGATGAAGCCAGCGATTATCCGATAAGCGGCAGGGACGAACTGCGCGGGCACTATCTCAAGGGCCCTGAAGAGCTCCAAGTGGAAGCTATGTAAGGGAAAGTTCAGCCCGGCTATCACCGAATCCAAGTGGACCACCACATAGCCGGGCAGATGGCGCATGGGGTTGCGCAGACGCCGATCGTCGTAGGTCCTTGGAGGATAGAACCATTGGCTGATCAGACGCTTGTCAGCATTCGTCAGGCGTTGAACTTGACGCCGAACGTATGAGAAGCTGAGGCTATAACGGGGAGGCCAGGGCGGCATTCCCCGCTCATAGTATTCTAAGTCGTCGCCAGAGGAACAACCATCGTCGAAACGAGTTTCAGAAGACATGGCAATGAACGGTACCTTGGAAATCTGAGAAAGGAACTCTAGAGAGAGGAAGCAATTGTGCAGCGTAAGGAGAAGTATGAATGAAGCACATGGGCTCTGGGTACTTATAGGCAGCATCGTGGAAACACGCCAACCGAAGTGGGACACGTGGCGCCTAGGTACCGGTACCTACCACGGTATTTAAGGTGCCTCGATTCCGTCGCCGCATAATCTTGGCAGGGGTGGCTAGATCGGAGCCACGAACGTCCGGCGGGGAACTCGGGACGCCCGGAGATCACGACCATCGGCCGTCCCTAATATCGGCGGTTAGTGGGGAACATATGCATCAACGGGCTACGTTCGTCTTTCCATACTTCATGCCATTTGAACATGTAGAACAAACGAACGTCCCCATACGTTGCTTGAATGATCATGCCTCACGACGGCAGACGAACGTCGTTACCGGACGATGACTCTGGGAAGCACGTGAGTGTGCATCATAAGCCACCGACGAACGTCGTTCCATTGTCAGAATACTTCGAGGACGGTAAGCCGGCATCAGAGCCCTGCATCGACGCCCGAAGACGGGCTTGAGCCGTACCTCCGCACACTTGAGTACGTACGGAGGTTTGGCAAGGGGGCGCCGTTGCCTTAAGCGAGTAAGGAATAGACACGAACGTCCTCGCGACAAGTGTATCGAGGCGCCGAAGGAGTTCCCATACAACAGACAACGAAGGGAACGAAAGTAAGAATAACGAAGTAAAGATCATGAATGTAGAGACAGTTTGGGCAAAAAAGGCGTATATTCTTCGGCTCTAACGGCCGGGCATTACAAACGCAAAATGAAAAGAGTACAAACTACATCTACACCATACAAGGGGACTCAGGCCGGCTGCCTCCCGGAATCTGCTCCTCCTCTTCAGCTTCGGGCTCCGGGGTCGGGCGTTCGGGAATCTCCCCTCTGGCCTTGGCCTCCTCCCGGCGCTGATCTCTCGCCAGCTTCGCTAGAGCCTGGAGCAGCAGATCGTCATCTGTATGCGCAGCCAGCTCGAAGTCGGCCCCCTGCAACCTCGAGAAAATGGGAAGGGTGGCCTTAACCCCCTCATTGTAGCCAGCCGCGAAGGTGCTGTCGCCAACCTCGTAGAGGAACTGGTGAGACAAGGGGGAGCTCTCCAAGATCCGAACGCCGCACGACAGGCGCTGCCGGGGCGGAATCTTCGCCAGCGCCGCAGAGAACACGTCGCCAAAGGCCCCGGCGCAGTAATCCTTGGCGGAGTCCATAAACTCCCCAGTGTTCCTATAGCCGGAGGTATCGACCAGCCACTCCGGGGTGGCATCCTTGGCAGCAGGGAGCA